AAGGAGATGTACAGTTGGATGTCATTTGCATAAAGATGATAGGAGATTCCTTTAAAGGAGCTATGGGTGTGCTGAAGAGGAGGCTGATAGAGGAGGAAGAGTAGGGCCCCAGTTTAAATAAACCACCACCAGCAGGCAAGGTGGGTTAACCCCGGCTTTCCACGGGAGCCGTCAGCAGCACGTTACTGCAGCAGCACGTCATAGCTGCTGATAGGAACGGCTGTGGTCAACAGAACCTTTTCCACTGGAGCCGTCAGCAGCGCGAGTCGGCCGCGTCTCAGGAGCAGCATGTCGCGGCCTTTACGCGCCGGTTCTATTTCCTACGCGCGACGCCTCTGAAACGGGTCAAGTTCGACATTTTTGGGGAAGGAAAGACAGGAAATCGGACGCGGAAATGGAGAGAAGCTCCCGAGATTTTCAGAATAAAGAACGTACTGCCTTCCGGTCGCTTTACTTTAAAAAAGGTTACTAACTGTGCGGCCCCGTGAGAAGTTATCACCTAGCTAGCGGTCTCCTTTGTTTTTCAGGTCCGTATTGGCGATTATAAAACGGACAGAATATAAAAACACAAACATTTTGGAGCCATGTTGTAGTTTTCTCCTGCTTGTTGTTGTGTTTACTGACGAAGTCACTCGTGTGACTTCGTGCCCTGTCGGTGACAGCTGCTCCTCTGCTGCGTCGCGTCTCGTGGGAAGGGCCAAGCAGCAGCTAGACGTGCTGCTGCAGTAACGTGCTGCTGACGGCTCCCGTGGAAACCCGGGGTAAGTGTCTTGCCCAAGGACACAACAGCAGAATTCTCTGTCCAGAGCCAGGATTACAGGACAACCCACTCAACCTCTTGAGCTACTGCTGCCCCTTAGGTAGTTTGAGAATTTTATTGACCACAGTAGTAAAGTTCTTTTGTTTCGGTGGAAGTAGACCAAAGGAAGATAAATCGCTTTGTTAACACAAACATATCTAATAATGTTTATGTATTTTACTGAATTTATGGAAAGGAAACATTAAAAAAAAATGCCCATTTGGCTAATTAAAGCTTATTTAAAGTCACGGTTTTAAGACAAGTACTCAAAATGACATTTAAAATTTTATTCCTTGCATAAAGTTGTATTTGTACTGAACTAAAGTGTCTGACCCTGCTGATTTTACTTTTTCTTTTAATTCCCAGGAAGCATTGCACCCTTTAGGCTTACCAAAACCATACAAGTGAATAATGTAGACACGCAGATGGAAGAAAAACACAGCTCCATTAGAAGCTCAGAAACTCACCTGCAACCAGTTTTATTGATTATGGGATGACAGAGATGCTAAAGGAAAATGGGATTCTTGCTGTTCTTTTTAAAGTATGGCACAGTGAAGAACCTAAAAAGAAAACCTGTCTGGGGTTTTAATTGTAAACTTGTGCTGTTCATTTAGAAATACAGCTGTCTTTTATGTCTCATTTTGTTCTCAAAATATTTTATGTAACTTAATGTTGCATGCCATCAGTACTAGAAAGACCTTGACTGTTACATTTACAGGTCAGTTTATAATTTCAGATAATATTTCATTTAATCAGCTAAATGTTGTTTTTTCTATCAAAAATAGCAGTCAAGTAAACAGTTTCATGATTGTAACTGTTTGTGTTTAACAGTATTTTTAAAGCCATTCTTCAGAATGACTGCCAAGGCCGTTTTACTGTTAGTTATTTGACTTAGATATATGAAAATACATTTCTAAAAATGTGCGTTTTTGTGTTACGATATTTATTTACATTTCTCTCAGTGAAAAACTTCAGTTTTTGGTTTCTAAAGTACATTTTAAATTTAATCAAAATATGAGAAATAAGGATCTAAACTTGTCAGTATTTAGCACTAAAATCATTATAATTTATTTTCAAAAATAACAGTTAAAAACAGAACTTCCATCCTCAAGATCTCCTATCTAGCACGTTTTAGTTGTTTCCCTGCTCTAACACACCTGATTCGGTGGTTAAATCACCTTTTCAGCAAGTCGTCAAAGGCCCTGTCCCAGTATTTGCACTGCACCCTCTACCAAGTGCACTTGGACGAAGAACATACGTAGTAAGGCTTCGAGTGCGTAGTACACGAGTGTGCAAATACTCGCCGAACAGGGACAGTGAGCATTGCATCATCGACCGCGATTCATGCTGGGATGCTGATTGCTGTTTGTGCTACTAGTAAAGCTGGTAAAGGGAAAATACAGAACAAGCTTGGTTTTGAATGCAAACACAGTAATAAAACACTCACCCCTCCCCTCGGGTATCTTTCCTGAGATGCATCTGCCAAAAATGGAAAGCTGCATTGCCAGAGTAAACAAGACAGTGCTAAACATCGTCTCCATTTTCCAAAAGCATGTTATCAATAGCATTTTTCATTTTGGGACTCTGGCAGTTTGTACTGATGTTGAAGTGGTATGCTTAATGAGTGTAGGGCCCAGGGAAATGCAGTGGTTCAGCAAGATAAACAACCCCTTTGGTCCAATGGTTGCTTTCGGTCCAAGTCATATTATTAGCAGAGGTTTATAAACGAATGCAAGAATATATTTTGAATCTCTGCAATGTATTAATAGTTATAGTATGTTACAATGTTGTTTAAAGGCATCAAAAAATGTTTAAACCTAATATGTTTTTCAAATTTTCTATAGCAGCTTTTGCAACTTTGAAACATTTATTTTACATTTGCATTCATTGCTGTTCGCGTTTAACCCTCAGTGTCAACAATTCAGAGCATGGATAAATATTTTAAATTGTCCTAAAATGAACTTTGCTACATTTTGGGTAATAGAGGAAATGTTAAAAATGTGGTTCTAATATTGAAGATTTTATTTTCCATAAACATACCAAATATTTTTGTTTTCCTGACCAGAAGGTAAATCTTTCATTTGAATCTTAACATTTGATGATGATCGTGATCTCAGGTGATGATTATGATGTCTCAGATGTGCTGAGTTGGGTATCAGGTCTGGGGAAAGGGTGGTTCAGTCCATAGCATCAATGCCTTCGTCTTGCACAAACTGCTGGAACACTCCAGCTACAGGAGGTCTAGCATTGAATTTGCATTAGGGGAAACCCAGCATATGGTCTCACAAGGGGTCGGAGGATCTCAGTACGTAATGGCAGTTAGGTTACCTCTGGTGGGAACTTGGAGGACTGAAAGAAATGCCACCCCACACACCCTGACAAAGTAGTCAGCTGAAGGATGATGCAGGCAGCAGAACATTCTCCATGGCGTCTCCACTCTGTCACATGTGCTCAGTGTGAACCTGCTTTCATCTGTCAAGAGCACAGGGTGCCAGTGGTGAATTTGACAGTCTTGGTGTTCTCTGGTAAATGCCAAATGCTCATCTGCCACAGATCAAATCGATGTGCCATCCTGGATGAGATACATTACCTGAGCCACTTGTAGCTCAAGCATTCAAAAGTGACCAGAACATCTGCCAGAAAGTAGAGGAACTGAGAAGTGGTCAGTGGTCACCACCTGCAGAATCACTCCTTTATTAGAGATAACTTGCTAATTGCCCATAATTTCCACCTGTTGTTTATTCCATTAGCACAACAGCATGTGGAATTGATTGTCAATCAGTGTTGCTTCCTAAGTGGACAGTTTGACTCACATAAGTGGGACTGAGTTGGAGTTATACAGGGTGGGCCCTTTATATGGATACACCTTAATAAAATGGAAATGGTTGGTGATATTAACGTCCTGTTTGTGGCACATTAGTATATGTGAGGGGGCAAACTTTTCAAGATGGCTGGTGACCATGGTGGCCATTTTGAAGTTGGCTATCTTGGATCCAACTTTAGTTTTTTCAGTAGGAAGAGGGTCATGTGACACATCAAACTTATTGGGAATTTCACAAGAAAAACAATGGTGTGCTTGGTTTTTTATTAAGGTGTATTGATATAAATGGCCCAACCTGTATTGTGTTTTACGTTTTCACTTTATTATCATTTTTTGAGCAATGTACATATTTTCAGAAAGGGCATTTGAGCCATTTCTCTGCTTTCTTCTTAAAATTCCCACACATCAATGGATTGTGGGTAATATACTTCAGCAAAGCCCACATTGATGCAGACTTAGGTCAAGCATGGATCAGGGGTGAGGGCATGACCAAGGTCTACACTTGAGAATTAGGACACCCTAAACACTCGCAATCCTGTATGTGAAGGAAGGGTGGAAGTGTGAGTACTGGGTACAGGACCAAGCTCTTCAGAAACCTGTTAATCAGCACTGATTCAGAAACTAGGACTGTTGGAGAAGGAAAATAAAAACATGCTGGTTAAGGGATCTCAGTAGAGCCTGATGCTGTCTGTTGGGACGAGCTTCTGCTTTGGATTTGAAATACCCTAAAAATCTTAAATATTGCCTCGAGGTAAAGCGTTCCTGGAGCTGGATCCTGCAAAACATTTAAAGTTCAGAAACTGAAAAATCACCTCTGTGCTTTGTAGGTGACTATTTAAAGGAAAATGGGACTTCTTTTATGAATATCCATCAGTGCCTTGATATGATGAGATCTTCATGATTTAAAAAAAGGAACGACCAGTGAAAACAATATAAATCATATTTAATGGAAGACATTTTGATGAAGTTTAGTTACAAAAAAGTCAGTAAAACATATTGTTTAAATTAAATGAACATTTTGATTTCTGTTCAATTAGATGTTTTTGTTTTGTTTTTCATAATATCTTCATAATAACGAAGTTTGTAACCTATACTTTCAGTACAATTTACTAATTTTGTTTAAATGGTACCAAAATCAAAATTTCATTTCAACATACCTTTTTAAAGCTTTATTTATTCAGTTTGTCAAGCACATTTATGAGATTTGGCAGTTTTTTTTGTGGTATTTTGAGTGTATAAACATTGCATCAAATGTTTTTAAGTAAATTATTTTTTTCACAGTGTACCATCTTTATCAGAAATGTATTTTATTTCAAATATCACGTTTAAATCTCCGAGACATCTGGTGAATTTAATATCCTTCAGAGTATTTGTGCTTACCCTTCTTGATGTGTTCAGCAACACACAACCGGAGTCATCTGCTTCTGAAGAAAGAAAAAAAAACAGACAATGTAGTTCTCCTTGTAGTTTCAAACATTTTCAACCTTTAATATTTTCACATTTTTTGGACATTCATCTTAACCCTCCCACTGTCTTTATGGATGACCCCATGAGGAAAGTTGACCATTGTGCAGGATTGATGGTTTATCCCTTGAGGTCCACGTGACAGGGGTGAGGTGGTGCTCACTCCTCACCCCTGTCACGTGGACCTCAAGGGATAAACCATCAATCCTGCTCAATGGTCAACTTTCCTCGTGGGTTCACACCCATTAGGACAGTGGGAGGGTTAATAATAAATAAAAAGTCATCACATTTGTATTTCTAAGCTTTTCTAACAAACTGAATGTTTTTCTTTAATGTTTGAAGCCTGAAGTCACAAGTAATAACCTCTTGGGCAGTAAAGGGGAAAAAAGCATGACACCTTCTTTGTAATGGTGATGAAAATGTCAAGAGGGTCATATCTAAATGCTCTCTGTGAACAGAGATTAGACATTCTGCTCCGATAAGGATTTAATAGACATGTCTGGGAAGCTTAGTGCTCAGATAGTGCACAAAGCTTTGGATATTCCCAGTACCATAGGGAAAAAAAGAAATAAGGAAAAGCCCTTTTTATGTCAGGAAGCAAAAGCTTTAGGAATCGAGGGGAAATGTGTTTGGTGTACTTCAGTTCCTTAACTAGCCTGCTGATTGTCATTAAAACCTTCTTTCATGATCATTACATAACAGCTACCGTTGGGAGGAAGGGATTGGGTTCCCACGGGCTTTCCTCCTCTGCTCCATGTGATGCTTTGTGGGCAATCAATCACTTCATTCCTCCTCCCTCCAGCAAGAAGGGAAGAAAGATAAGCCGCGGCAAAGACCGAGGGAATTTCAATAGAGCTAATCCAGCTTGTGAACGTGTTGGAGTATGAGTCTGCAGAAAATGATGGGTGCATTGATTGTAACTCACCTTTTTTTTTGTAACACCTTGCTGTCATAGTTCTGCAGGCAGTGAGGGGAAAAAGGAGCCCAACCCTGCCTTTGTGAGATGAGACTACTGTGGGGGGCTAAGGATTTGATCATCAAAGTCTCACATTAAAAAAGCTCACGGCTGGGCTGATCCCTTCTCCGGTGGGGAGGGAAATCTAATTGCTCAGGCTATAGCTACAAGGAGACATTCATGTATTCATATAAGATGAGCTCTTTCCAAATGACCACCTTCATCTTATGCTTTCTGTTTGGCTCATATAGAGTGCACACGAGGCTGGAGGTAATTACTAAGGTATTAAACTTCAGTTCAGTCAAACCTCCATCAGAAAAGACAGGATGAGACCTGAGCTATCTCGACCCTTTATAGTATATTGTCATCTCATTGTTATGGTTTCAATTATCTGTGGTTGTGCTTCAAATGATCTTGTGCTTTACTGCATTTTTTCCTGAGGCATGTTTTTTTTCGAGGGAACCTAATTTCTGCTTAGGTTGGGTTCTGGTCCTGATACACTTTAGTGAAATTTAGTTTATATTTCCTGTTTCTACAGTTGACTTGGTTCATTAAGGATTCTGAGTTCTACAAACCGTCTGAATTACTAGAGTGTCTGTCAGCTATCACCAGCTGGCTAGAAGTTAACTTCATTCGGTTAAACTCTGAAAAGACTGAATGTCTGATCATTGCCCCTGAGAGCACGGTTCCCCCGATTAGTTTAAAACTTGGTCATTTATCCTCTGCCATCAAGACAAACTTAAGGAATTTGGGTGTTATTTTTGACCAATCAAGGTAACTCAAAAACGTTGGTCCGAAACTGTTTTTTATCATTTTTATCTCCAAACTGCGAAGGTTGGTGTCAAAACATGAACTTGAAATGGTTCTCCATGCCTTTATCTCCTCCCGTCTTGATTACTGTAACATACTTTTCACAGGTTTTAACAAAAAAGCACTTGGCTGCCTTCAGTTGGTCCAGAACAGCGAGGCTCCTAACTGGAGCAAACAGAAGAGCACACATCACTCCTGTTCTGATGTCTCTGCACTGGTTACCCGTTAACTTCCATTCCGACATTTTTTACATGGAGACCATAGATGTCATCTATTCACGCTATTCCTATTTTATGGTCTTATTATACAGATTTAACGCACTCACTGCCATTGAAGATTGAGGTAGTCAATTTCGTTTTTACCGAGGCGGGCGTGGGAGCAAGCTTGCACACCTTGAGAGGAATCATGACGGCTCTAAAGTTAATTTCCATCCGTGTGTGACAAACGTCACGTGATCATGAAGCAGACAATTCATGTATTAGCAGATCACTTTCGACACTAATCAGAAAAAGCTTCTGCAGCTCAAACTTCGACAACGAAAGGTGAAAGAATGGAAAATTCTAGAAACAAGCAGATTTTTTTCGTAAGAAGTGAGTCTACTCTTGCTTTTGGTAGTTTTGTTGTTTACATGGTCATAGAGCACAATATTCAGTGACTCTTCAAAAACAGTAAAAATGCTTAAAAATGCTGTCAGTCAGGGGCTTCCTGTCCAGAACATGGCTTGCAGTTAATGAGTTGACCTACGTGTGACCACAGCTCAAACAGGACATCATTACAGTCCCTTGGCCTATTGTTACAGAGGGGCGGAGGATGACATGAAAACCTGGACATAGCTAACAGTAGCATTTAGCTATCAACTATGTATCGTCCAGCGGCATGGCAATGAACTACCTGAAAGGCTCCAAGGCTGATGAGTACCTACATAATCATATGGCTGGTTGTGTTTTGTTGAAAGAGGTGGCTTACAATCTTTAATTAAAAGCAGACGTAGGGCCGAGTCAGAGTCCACCAAGTCTGGATTTTAGTTTCTACAATAGCGCAACGTTCCCAAGCCATGGGAGTACATTTTTTGTTGGCAAATAGTTTTTTAAAAATGTTAGAAAACCTGCAACTAGAAACGGAACTTCACCATGCAATCCAATGGCTATGCGCTATATCCAGCACTTCACCTGCCATCTCCCATAGCCCACCCTTTCCTTTACATATATTCCTGAATCATGAGTTCTCTTTATTCTTCTCTTTCACCTACACACTTAGACCTTTGCACCTCAGTCATTGCTTGTACATTAATTGTTTTGTATACATAACATTGCCAACTCATTTGTGTTGACTTTTGCAGTCTATGGAGTGGCTCAGGGTTACATTTCCCTGCAAGTTGTGCAAGTCTACTGAGCATGTGACAAATAAAGATTTTTTGAATCCTTGATATTGCTCATATAATTGTTTCTACAAGAGCTGGCCCAGGAATAGGGTGGATAATATAGAGAGTGCAACATTGTGTCCTACAGTCATCGTCTCACAAGGGATTTTAAGCATGACAACATTGCAGAACCACAGTAACAGATAAAGAAAGAGCTGTTAAAAATAGAGTGTGAAAGGAATAAATACATCACAGATTTTTCTGGACTAGTAACCGCTCTCCTTTAGTCTCTGATCACTTGTTACCCACCAGAACTGCTTACTGAGGCTGACAAAAAGAGATTAAAGTACTTCTTAAACAATCCCAACAGTGATGTTTTGATGTTGAATAATAAAACAATATTATTTGACATAAATTAAAAATGTAAGAGTGGATGTTCACTTATAACCATGGGGTGGGTTGATTAAAATGTACAGAGCCAAAGTGAATAACATGATCATGTATCGAGAGACTCCAGACCATTGACAGACACAAATGTAGTTTTGGTTAAAATAAACAGAAAGAATGGGAGCAGCTCACTGATGGAAAAAAAAAAGAAGAAAACAGAATCTGCTTGGGTTTAAATGCTGAAGGATGTTATCCTTCACATGTTGGTGAATTACGCTGGTAAAGAACAGGTTAGCTGAGAAACCATTTTTTACTTATTATTCTTGGAACGTATCAGTCACTCTGAGTTTTTCATACAGGCTGAACAGGAACATACTACCCCTATTTCCTGCATTTGCTTCTGATAGAAAATAGATGGAAACATGCTCGGTTCAGAAAAGCCTGACAGATCTACGTCATGCTGTCACTTTATGTTCATGGACTCACTCAAATGTCTCGACTAGTAGAAGCTAAGTGTTAGCATTAGCAACTCCACCTCACAGCAGAATTTCTCCAGGCTTGTGTTATTTGTAGAGATAAAATATCGGTGTTGCATGTCATGGTCTGCGTCTTTCCCCATGTGTCTCCTGATGTTCTCCATCCCTCTCTAGATTCCCCTTTTGTGTCTCATAGCGCTCTCATGTGTCCTTTGTCTGCATCTCATTTGTGTGTCTTCTGTTTGTAGCCCTTCAGGTCATCCCCAGCCCTTCCAGTTGTAGCTCCAGCCTTTTTGTGACCAGCTCCCTCCTGGTTTTCTTCATGTTCGCTTGGTTTACCCACCATATTTCTATAGGTCTATTATTTCAGTTTTGTGTGTGTGTGTGTGTGTGTGTCCTTCTCAGCTGTGTGTGTGTGTCCTTCTCCAGCTGTTTGTGTGTGTGTGTGTGTGTGTGTGTGTGTGTATGTGTGTGTGTGTGTGTGTGTGTGTGTGTGTGTATGTGTATGTGTGTGTGTGTGTGTGTGTGTGTGTGTGTCCTTCCCCAGTCAGGTCCGGTGTCCTCCCCTGCTCCTTCCTGCTCCTCCTCCCTGATTAGTTATTGCCTTCACCTGGTTCTCTCCCCACACACCTGCAGCTCATCTGCCTCCCATTATGCCCCAGTCTATAAAGCCCTGTCTGTTTCTCATTGTCTTGTCGGTCCATTGTGTTTGTCAGTGTTTTGGTGCTCTGTGTGCGCTTCCTGTCCCGTCCCAAGTTTGTGCTCTAAGTGAGCTTTGTTCTCATTTTCCGGATTTTTGGATTTTGGCTCCCTGCCTTTTTGAATTATTTTTGTTTCATCCTACAATAAAAGGATTTTACTTTATTTCAACTCCTGCCTCGTGTCATCCTGGGTTACTGCATTTTGGGTCCAAACCATCCTCGCAACATGACATTGCAGAGCAAACTGTGTGTGTGTCTGCTCTGTCTTCTG